GGCAAACTGTATTAAAAAATGTTATAACAACTCACATGTAAAAGTACATATCTTGCAAGTCAAGTCCAAACCTGTACGTTCATAGTGTCCCCATCCCATGGGACCCACCAATTATGGAAAAACACAGCCACTTGCGGTGCTCACAGGCCTGGAGGAGATGTAAAAAGTTCCAGGAACCCTGTAAACCAGCTTGGAGCGCACAGGTGGGTATAGGGTGGAAGTGATGTCAGTTTGGGGGCTAACGACCTATACATGCCTATACATCTCCTTCATCCCTATGAGCACAGTAAGAGGTTCTCTGCCATGAGCGGGTCCCGTGGGACGGGGACAATATGACCGTGCAGATTTGAATTTGACATGCGAGATATGTACTTTAAACATTTGAGTTGTTTTAACATTCTTTAATAAACAGTTTGCCCATTGCTGCACTTAGATGGCACTTTCCTATCTGTCTATACTGGGTTTACACAGGAGCAGTGGGGGAAACCGCATGCAATTCGGACATGAATTCAAATCGCATGTGATTCTTTGCAGTGCAATTTGAGCCCATTCATTTTGAATGGACTCAAATCGCACTGCAAATGTATCGGTACTCGGTATCGGCTAGCACTTGACAGAAAGTATCGATACTTGTAGTCACTGGTAAAAAAAAGGTATTGGTGCAACCCCCATCCATACAGATATTCACACATAACAAAATTGCTAAAAAGGAGTGCATCCAAAAACTCAAAGCTAAGTAAATGTTTCTTCAGGAGTGGATGTCACCTCTATAAAATCCTTGAACTAAAAAACAAGGTTTCAGAATATGTTTGAGCGCTCCCTAGAACCAGAGAAACACTGGATGTATTTTAAGGGTGTATTCACACCTGAAAATGCACCCGCTCTCCGATTAGATGCCAGAACCCCAGCTGGGTTCCAGAGATTAGCCGCGGGAGGCAGTCCCATTGAAAGCAATAGGAGGCTGCTGGTTCCTGCAGCTAATCGTGGCCACTCATATTATTATTATTATTATACAGGGCTTATATAGCGCCAACGGTTTGCTCAGTGCTTTACATTGTAGTGGGAGACAATACAGTAACAATACAGTTCAATACAAAAGGGAGTTGAGGGCCCTGCTCCTTGGAGCTTACAATCTAGGATGAAAGTGATGACATGTGAATGATCGGCCCTGGATGCAGACTGCCTGCTTTTAATAGGGCTGTCTCTGGCAGCTAACTGTGGGACCCCTGTTGGGGTTCTCACATCTAATCAGAGAGCAGCTGCATTCACAGGTGTGAATGCACCCTAATATTCTCACAAAATGAAGATAACAGTGTCTATAGGGATTTTGGGCAGCTGCAGAAAATAAATCCCAGCATAGGGATTAGGACCAATCAGCAGACAGGCTGCATCCCTTGAGCCAGTTCAGTTTGTATACTTATGTCTGCATGTAAAATTATTGTTGTAGATTCGAGCTTAGCCCTCACCCTCCAATCTCTAATATTGTGTGTAGGAATTCTTTATAACTTTGGGAACAGGATCGGGAAATGGTTTTCGATGATGTCATAAGCGGAGAGAGTGATTTGGGTTGATGCCCACATCCTGTTACATTGTATTCCCCCAGAATGGCACTGTATTGAGTCTCATGGAATATGTTTTCCTCCAGGACAGTTTACAGTGGACACTGGTTGGTTTGGCACTGCGGGCTATATGACATTATCTTCCATGTTATTCTAGCCAAATACTGTTCCACTTTTATGATACAGACCAGACCTTCTGTGATAAGCAGTTTAGGGAATAAAAACTACTACAAATGAAAAGAAAAAAAAATCAAGAAATGTATTTTAAAAACAGATCTGCTATAATTGCTAAAAATCTCATTTGTCTAATTTGCGCATGCAGCCTCATTCACACAGGCGTACCTTTGCGTATGCTCATGTGAAGGGTCATCTTTGCCAGCATAGGAAGCACAGGTGTTCCATGTATCTGTGTCAGGCTAGGTTCACACCTATGCAGCTTGCATTTGACCTGTTTCTGCATTGTGTTATGTGTTTTTGCACTTTTGTTTTTGCCGTGTTTTAGATGCATTTTGCAGGTTTTTTTTTCAGTTTGTTAAAATTATTCTTGTTGCTAGGCAGATTTGAAATGCAAAACGTGCCAAAAATGCAGCAAAAACGCACCACATGCATTTCTGCAAGGTTTCCATTGAAGTCTATGAAACCAAAAAACAAAAAAAGTCCCTGACCCTTTCCAAAAAATGTATCGGGTGAAAACACGGAGATGTGAACATGTCCCATAGGAAATCATGTTAAATGGACTGTACTGCGTTTCTGCAAAACGCTACGGATAACCCTTAGGTGTGAACCTGGGGCAAGGCAGTCCCATTCATGTTTTCTGGGATGCAGCAGCTGCATGGATACAACTGCTGGTCCCAATTTGACAGCCGCGCAAGTGCCGATACGCGTCCCCAAATGCTCACTGTCTGTGTTCAAAGGGGTCCTGCGTGGCCCCCAAATGTTGCACCTTATTGCTGTCATATGACGCACCTGAATAAACTTTTGGACATTATCATAATGATCTTTGGTGTGCTAGAAATATATACTTTGGCTTATGATGTTACCGGTTTTCACCTAGTAGTTGATACAGCACCTGCTTACTACCTGCTATTTTCTGATGGGGATATCAGACATGATTTTAAGAAATGCAGCGCACCACAATACACAGATGTGCATTGCCATGTATTGTGGTGCGATGCCGTGCATGTGCATTGTAGCTGTGTTGCCTTAGTGCTTTGAGGTGACATTCAAAATGACACATTGTAACAACTCACAGCAGCTGAAAAGTATTCACCAAGCCTTATCATTTTAGTATGCAATTTTTGTAGAATTCTATAATAAGTGTAAAAAATAGTCAGTCCCTGTGTCTTCTTTCTCCTCCAGATGTACGGATTCTGTCTTTGGTGTCTTACAGTGGAACCTTTGAGGAAATGGAGAGGTGTAATCCACAGGCACTGTGCCTCATCTTTTATTTTGCAGCTGGGAAGTTTGAACTGTCTGACTCCCTTTTCATGACACAACCGTCAGTTTCCTCCAAGCAGAAAGAAGACCCAGCTGTGCATAACTGTTTCATTCTCCAGCAAGTCCTGATGTTTCATACTGAAAGCCAAAATGTAGCAATTTATCTGATTCTGTAGAAAGTAATAGGGGATTCTGTAGCAAGGCAGGATGCACAGTTATCCCTATAATGCTGTTCCAATCCTCTTTGCACCCAGTTATTCCCACCCCCCGAGTCTGCCACTTACCTATCTACAATCTACAGAGATCTTTGATGTGGGGACACACAGCTTCTTTTTAGATAGTATTAGAAATGTCAACCAATATGTGACTATAAAATATATAATATAACCACAAATAATAGCGCTCACTAAATAAATACCACCACCAAATTATATATGTGTGAAAATAAATATTTAAATATTCATAGAATCCTCATAAAGTCCATTCAGTAAAGTCCACACATCAATATTGTATATGATCTTCAATAAATGAAGTTATAGAGTCTTCCTCCACCAGTGAATACTCCAGTGCTCAACACCCCATCAAAATGCAAACTCACCAGACACTGGTGAAAAACCAGTGTATCTTTGTATAATCAATGATTGTAATATACTCCACAGCTTAGCTCGCTCCAGCTGAAAGATCCCATATACTCCATAGATCACATGTGAACAAAATAAAGAACACAATGATACATAGATTATACAAAGATACGCTGGTTTTTCACCAGTGTCTGGTGAGTTTGCATTTTGATGGGGTGTACTGGAGTATTCACTGGTGGAGGAAGACTCTATAACTTCATTTATTGAAGATCATATACAATATTGATGTGTGGACTTTACCAGGGGCAGACTGACCATTTGGAAACTCAGACACTGCCCGAGGGCCTGGGGTTAGTAGGGGGCCCCATGAGATTCCCCTGGTACCTTTTTCATAGGCTTTTTTGAGTTTGGGCAAGGACACAGGGGCCCCATGATCCCCTATTGCCCAGGGGCCCCATGAGTTGTCAGTCCGCCCCTGGACTTTACTGAATGGACTTCATGAGGATTCTATGAATATTTAAATATTTATATATTTATTTTCACACATATATAATTTGGTGGTGGTATTTGTTTATTTAGTGAGCGCTATTGTTTGTGGTTATATTATATATTTGATAGTCACATATTGGTTGTTATTTTGAAGTTTAGGGGTATAATAGCAGCTCCTACATGTATCATTATTTATTATTTAATATTATTTAGGTTATTTATATGTATTTTATGATCTAATATATGCACTGTATTTCACGGTATTGTAGTCCAAGGGCACGATGATGTAGACCTTGGAATATATTGATATTAGCATTGATATTATTCACCAGGGTTTATTTTTGTTTATTTAAGTATTAGAAATGCGCATGACAGAAAAACGTGTTTCGTTTCATATTCATCTTTTAAGTTAATATTGTTTTGTTATATTCATTATGTTAGAATGATTAGTTTTCAGAATTCGTTTTGAACATTTGCATTCGTTTCATATATTCGTTATTTTCAAATCGATTTGAATCAAAATTTAAAGTCGTAATTAAAATTCTAATCTCAGAAGACTCATTCATCTCATTCAGACTCATAATCTCATTCATCCTATTCTATTCTGTTTTATTCTATTCCAACCAGGCTGCTCATGTGCAGAAAGGCTGTGCAGTTCCCATCAGCCCACAGACAAGATCCCCATAGATTATGGACAGCGGAGTAACAACATTTTGAGGATAACTGTACTGGAAGTAACACTGTGGCAATACAGTTGGGTAGACAAAAGCCCCTGAGAGATTTATTGGCCGTCTGCCTCTACATTGGAGAATTTCCCACGCTTACTGAATTTGTGACAATTTTGCCACCATGTAGAGGAGAACCAGAAGGAGAACCATTTGGGGGAGGGGGTGGCAAATATTCCCCCTTCATCAGGGCTTTAACAGTATCTCAGTATCTAATGGACTCAAAATGAAAATGTATTTTATTTTATTTCAGGTACTTATATAGCACGGTCAATTTACGCAGTGCTTTACATATATATTGTACATTCACATCAGTCCCTAACCCTCAAGGGGTGTACAATCTAAGGTCCCTAACTCACATTCATATACAAGGGCCAATTTAGACAGGATCCAATTAACCTACCAGCATGTCTTTGGAGTTTCTGGATGTAATCAGAGCCAGACCAACAAGTGAGTGCCTGTATTAAGAAGCCTCCAAAACATGTTATCATTTGTGGATTCATTAAAATACACTTTTGGATCTGTTCATTTAGCACTCCTTCTGGATCTACGTTGCATAGACTTCTCAAGCTGGTTGACCCCTAATCCTGGGGAGACTCTTACTTTGTGGAGATCTCATAGGTACTATTCAAGGACTGGCATCCAACGCCTCACCTCCACCTCACCATGGCATGACGGTAAGGGAAAATCTCCCCAGCAGGGGCAGACTGACAACTCATGGGGCCCCTGGGCAATAGGGGATCATGGGGCCCCTGTGTCCTTGCCCAAGCTCAAAAAAAGCCTATGAAAAAGGTACCAGGGGCATCTCATGGGGCCACCTACTGACCCCGGGCCCTCGGGCAGTGCCCGAGTTTATAGGTGGTCAGTCCGCCCCTGCTCCCCAGTGAGGCCTCGGGCAGCAGTAACAAATGCCTCCAGAAAATGCAACCTTTTCTCACTCCAAAACTAAAACAAATGTTGCTGAAGTTTTACCGATAAGTGACTTTATAGTCACAGGTAAGCTTGTTGGGCTGAGTCTGTGAACTCTCCCTGTCAAGATTATTAACTCTGTTCCTCTCACCCTGGGAGTTTTGAATGCTCCTACCTCTTTTGTGTGTTCCAGCTCCTCCCGTAACATTCTTTTTTTTTTTTAAATAAAATGAGTAAAAATCTATCAGGGATGGTGGGAACCTCTCATAATGGTCACAGGAGGTGTGCACACTCAGCAATATTAATATTTATTATTATAATTATTTATATTGTGTGTTTGAGAATCATTTTCTTTGTCAGATTGATGCGTCACATTTGTGCTTTCCTTGTTTTCATGCGATTTAAGAATTGCTCCATCTGGCAGTATTTTCCACAGCTTTTTACGGTACTCACTTGGATGTCCATGGCAGACAGTGAAGCAGCACTGCCAAGATTAACATTACAACATGGTCTGAGTCTACTGATGATCATACTGTGCACAGCGGATATAAACCCATATTTTAGCAGATCAGACACATTATGCACTTCCCTGTATGCCCTTACCTTTTTCTAGGTTTGAATGGACTAAAGATTGGTAAGAATTCCTGGGAACCATTGGGGAGATTTCTCCTTACTTCTTGTCCTGGAGACACAGCACGAATTTGAAGGAAATCTCTCCAAAATTAGTTGTCACTGGAACAGATGTCCCTATCTGAAGACTTTCCCTCACCTCCTGTTCCATTGACAGCTGTAATGTTTCTGTCCAGATGAGCAGGAGAAATAGAGAGGATGAATTTCCCACAGACAGCAATAAAAATTACAACCCTTCTGCACCATATCCAAAACAAACAAAAACAGTTTTGGCTTTAGACACGCTTTCACTGCTGACGGTCTCACTAAGAATATCCTGCAGGGGGATAAAGCCACTGAACCATCATGGCTGCCACCGTCCTTTTCATCATTTCTTATTATTAGAAGCATGGCCAGCAATGAAAACTCATAAGTGGCTGGAGAGCCTTAGATCGCCCGTGGGACAGCGTACAGAGTTCTAGTGATTGGACAATAAAGATGCATCCATCACAGACAACCTCGGGGTCAGCTCTCCATTTACTCCTAGTGATTATAGAGTTCAGTTTAATGGTGTGCACCAGTCAGGAAGTTCTAAGGCTGAGCGCTGGCAGGGTGAGCAACTGAATGTGAAATTATGGCAGACAATGGTGCTGTTGTCCTTCCAGCCTGGATGAATACTGCTTACATGAAGCTCACTCAGAATACCAAAGACCTTCCCTCTCTCTCTTTGGGAAGGGGGAGTAGAGATGGCTGGCAAAGGCACAATGGCAGCAATTAGCATATGCCAGCATGCACGCAAGCCTGTTGGATGTGTGATTAAGACAGGAAGGGGTATAGAGGACAGACCCCTGACTGTTCTCCCAAGCGACCCCTGTTACTGGATTTAAGGGATATTCCATTTTGTCTTTGAATGTATCTGTTTATTAAGATGCCATGCAGAATTTAGGTTTTTAACCAATCGCTCACTCCAGAGTTCACATTCTTTCTGCATGCTGCTGGGCAGGCAGCTCCATATGAACAGATTGGCTTTTTTTCCAAGCCTAAAGGTGGGAATACACGATTAGAAAATTGACTGATCGATCATCTGATGACCGAGAGGCATTCGTTCGTTGGTCAAAATCGTGGCCAACATTAACCAATCTAAAAAAAATCGTTCGGCGGGCAATACGTAGTGTTGACATCTTCCATACAAGTGGAAGTGATGCAGTGTGCGTGTGACCTTGTAGTCACGCCCTGCCACCCAGAACAAGTGATATACACAATTAACAGTAATGAGTATAATATAGTTTATTACATTATCTATATACATACATTGGGGCAAAAAAGTATTTAATCAGCCACCAATTGTGCAAGTTCTCCCACTTAAAAAGATGAGAGAGACCTGTAATTGGCATCATAGGTAGACCTCAACTATGAGAGACAAAATGAGAAAAAAAATCCAGACAATCACATTGGCTGATTTGGAAAGAATTTATTTGCAAATTATGGTGGAAAATAAGTATTTGGTCAATATCAAAAGTTCATCTCAAAACTTTGTTATATATCCTTTGTTGGCAATGACAGAGGTCAAACGTTTTCTGTAAGTCTTCACAAGGTTGGCACACACTGTTGCTGGTATGTTGGCCCATTCCTCCGTGCAGATCTCCTCTAGAGCAGTGATGTTTTGGGGCTGTCGCTGGGCAACACGGACTTTCAACTCCCTCCAAAGGTTTTCTATGGGGTTGAGATCTGGAGACTGGCTAGGCCACTCCAGGACCTTGAACTGCTTCTTACGAAGCCACTCCTTCATTGCCCGGGCGGTATGTTTGGGATCATTGTCATGTTGGAAGACCCAGCCACGTTTCATCTTCAATGCCCTTGCTGATGGAAGGAGGTTTGCACTCAAAATCTCATGATACATGGCCCCATTCATTCTGTCCTGTACATGGATCAGTCGTCCTGGTCCCTTTGCGGAGAAACAGCCCCAAAGCATGATGTTGCCACACCTATGCTTCACAGTAGGTATGGTGTTCTTTGGATGCAACTCAGCATTCTCTCTCTCTCCTCCAAACACGACGAGTTGTGTTTCTACCAAACAGTTCTATTTTGGTTTCATCTGACCATATGACATTCTCCCAATCCTCTTCTGGATCATCCAAATGCTCTCTAGCAAACTTCAGACGGGCCCGGACATGTACTGGCTTAAGCAGGGGAACACGTCTGGCACTGCAGGATCTGAGTCCCTGGCGGTGTAGTGTGTTAGTGATGGTAGCCTTTGTTACGTTGGTCCCAGCTCTCTGCAGGTCATTCACTAGGTCCCTCCCTGTGGTCCTGGGATTTTTGCTCACCGTTCTTGTGATCATTTTGACCCCACGGGGTGAGATCTTGCGTCTAGCCCCAGATCGAGGGAGATTATCAGTGGTCTTGTATGTCTTCCATTTTCTAATTATTGCTCCCACAGTTGATTTGTTCACACCAAGCTGCTTGCCTATTGCAGATTCAGTCTTCCCAGCCTGGTGCAGGTCTACAATTTTGTTTCTGGTGTCCTTCGACAGCTCTTTGATCTTCACCATAGTGGAGTTTAGAGTGTGACTGTTTGAGGTTGTGGACAGGTGTCTTTTATACTGATAACAAGTTCAAACGGGTGCCATTGATACAGGTAACGAGTGCAGGACAGAGGAGCCTCTTAAAGAAGAAGTTACAGGTCTGTGAGAGCCAGAAATCTTGCTTGTTTGTAGGTGACCAAACACTTATTTTCCACCATAATTTACAAATAAATTATTTCCAAATCAGCCAATGTGATTGTCTGGATTTTTTTTTCTCATTTTGTCTCTCATAGTTGAGGTCTACATATGATAAAAGTTACAGGCCTCTATCATCTTTTTAAGTGGGAGAACTTCAACAATTGGTGGCTGACTATATACTTTTTTGCCCCACTGTAAATAGTGATACATAAAAATATATTATGCAGAATTCTGCTTTCATTATCTCATTAGGCCAATCTATTTTTAACATTTGGATTTTTCGTTCATGTTTACGAAGATTCCTTGGACATAAACATCCGGGTCATCTTTTGTTTCCGCTCATGCGTGATAGCGCTTGATAGATTTTTTTTCGTACGACCGTCATACCACCACATAGAAAATCAGTCGTTCGTATGTGAAACGACAACATTTTCCACTGTTGTTCAACCGGATTTTTTCATTCACAATATCGTTATCGTTAAAACATCCTGCTCATCAACGAAGAGAAAATCGTTTGATCAGTGGTTCCGCAAAGTTTTTTGGACAATTTTCTTATCGTGTGTACGGGGCATAAGGATTTTGCAGCAGAACCATTTCACCGATCATGGTGTTATCTCTTGTGTACCATCATTGAAACATTACTGCAGTTTTGCGGCTACAGAAGCAAGTAATGTCATGGTAGGTAGGTGGAGTCCCCCTTTAACTGAGCCTTGACGCTTGGGGCTACTTTATGACCTTCTTATACCTATTATCCCTCCTCAGCACCCATGTTTAAAAAGCTTATGTGACAAATAGTAACCCCTCCTAAGACAAACATGAAGAGAAGATGCTCCTTCCCTACCCAGGCAGAATTCTTTAGGAGCCTTGGTGTTTTGCAAATTCCTGCAGCAACGCAGCAAACACTTGTTTCTATTTCACAGATAACAATGTTTGTTTCCTATTATTCAGGTGACCCTTAGTGCATGCAAAGCCTAATATGACTGTGGAGGACAGTTTATACCATACGCCC